TTGCACCACCTCTGCCCAAAACCAACAGACTCTAATACTTCTAGCAACAAGGACTAATCAACCAAATCATAAGCTTTTTCTTGAATCATGTATGTTGAATCAATATTTTTCTTTAGATAAATGGTTTCACATTTCATTAAAATCAAGAGGAACATACAGACCCTTGGGGAGGCATGAGTGCATAAGTGCTACAGTTTAGCAAGGAGTACATGAGTGCTACAAGATTACAGTTTAGCCAAAAACAGTGTTTCCCTTTTGTCCCTTGTTTTGCCAAAATATCAGCGAGGGTGCTTGCTGATTCCCCCACCCACTTTACTGAAGCAGACATATTTCTTGTCAGTCATTTATATTTATTTAGCTCATTCTTGTAAATCCATGCAACCTCCTCTGAATTATCTAGTCACCCCACTACTATCTTAAAGTCCCCTGAGTCCCCTTCAATCAGCAACTTCTCCACACCCTATTCTTTTGCAAGAAGGACTCCTTGTATGGCAGCTAACAATTCTGCTCTAACAGAATTCCAAACTCCCAATGGGCTAGAGTAGAGAAGGATAACCTCTCCAGACTCATTTCTCAGAACTCCTCCCAATTTAGAGGGCCCTGGGTTGCCCTGGCTGCTCCCATCAAAATTTAGTTTCAGAAAACCTTGTAGGGGGGGGGGGGGTAGTTTATAGAAACCCTGTCCTTTATGGATGAGCAGCTTGCTACTGCTGTCCACTTCCTCCATATATCATCAAAAGAGAAGGCAAACAGTTCCATAGAATTTAACTACTGTATTGTCCTATTCATGATGCAATCCTTCAAGGCCTAGTTGCTCCTTTCCCTCTCTTGGAATATTCTAGTATTCATTTCTTCCCAATCTGTCTAGATCAAAGCTGACCTTGCACACCTCCACATGCTTCTTCATCTTTTATGGGGCCATGAGAAGGTAGATGAGTTGAACAACAAGCTTATTTCTGTTGGCATCTCCCACCTACACCCAAACAAGGAGAAAAGCCAGACCCAAAGCTTTGCAGTGACACCACAGGATAGAAATAAATGATAACAGTTCTCACCATGAGATCTGTAAAGAGTACACCAGTTAGGAGAGATACAAAGAAAGGGTCTTCTCTTTTCTAGGTTATCCATGATGTTGCCTTTCCCATGACACACTTTCCAACATGGTGTTGCAAAGTGACTTGAAAAAGGAACCACAGGAAAAGAACCCTTTTGGGTGAGGGGCCCAAATCCTCTAGTCTGGCAATGAGTGATCTAATCACACTTTTTCAAGGAGGCAAAGCAAATTAGACAAACAATCAACTTCCTCATCCCTTAACCCTCAACGAAAACCAAAATCCCAAGACAAGGCCGACGGATTTAAAAGATAAGGAATTTTGAAATCACCTCATTTTTATACCAAGAAACAGAAAACAAGGAAAAAGATCATTAAGAGGGAGATCCCCAGCCCAAGTGTCTTTCCAAAAACGAACAAAAGTACCGGAACAAGTATCATACCTGACACAATTAAGGAACTATAGGAGAATCTTGTGGATTGCCTTCCAAGGTGTTGCTATGTTAGCCTTTCCTAATGCACCAACATCCCATCCATTCTCTAAGCATCCGTGAATACTCTTCACCACTTCGTGCCAAAGTCTCTCTCGCTCTAAAGGCCATCTCCACAACCACTTCCGTAGTAGGGCCAAGTTCTTTTTTATAGACCTAATCATCCTTCCTCTTTGCTTCTACCCACAACCTCCCATCTGATCAAATGATTTTTTTTCCTTCTCATAGTTCCCAAAGGAAGTCTCTCATCAATTTTTCTAATTTCTTCACTTCCCTAGGTAGTATCCTAAAGACAAAGAGGTAGTAAATAGGTAAATTTGTAAGGGTAGCTCTTATCAATGTGATCCTTTCACCCAACAAGATATAATTCTTCTTCTACAATGCTAACCTCTTCTCAAATTTCTCTATGATTAGAGTCTAGAACCTACTCTCCCTAGGATTTGCCCCTAATGGAAGCCCTAAATAGGACATAGGCCAAGACAAAGTAGAGCATTCAAGGTAATGTGCAATAGTCTCAATCTCCTCATTCTCCAAATTGATCCCTGCTATGCAGCTCTTTTTTAAGTTGATTTTCAAATTCAAAAATTTTCAAAGGTCTTAATCAACTCCTTCAAGTTTCCCACCTTCTCACTAAAGCCTCCATTACAGAACATCATTAAATCATCTACAAACTGAAGATGTGTAACTGTAACTTGGTTTCTGCCTATTCTCCAACCCCTTACAACATCTTCTCTATCAACCCTAGTGACAATTCAACTGAAAGCATTAGCTACCAAAGTAAAGAGAAAAGGTGAAAGGGGATCCCCTTGTCTAATACCCCTACAATCTAGAAAGAAGTCCCTTACCACTCTGTTTACTAGGATGGAATAATGACAGCTATTGAAACAACCCATAATCCATCTGCACCACCTTTCCCCAAACCCACATTTCCTCAACACTTCTAATAGGAATTACCAATCCACCAAGTCATAGGCTTTCTCTAGGTCTAGCTTACGTACAAAACTCTTTTCCTGGATTTCTTCATCTTTTCCACACATTGATTTGCAATCGAAATTTGATCAATTATCTGACGTCCTCAAATGAAGGCCCCTTGGGCCTGACTAATGATGGAAGGGAGGACTTCTTTAATCTTCAGGGAAGGAACCTTGGCAATATCTTATGGATACTTGTCACCAAACTAATTGGCCTTAAGTCCTTAGGATGGACAGCATCAAATTTCTTTTGGATTAGAGCCAAAAAAGTAGCATTGATACCTCGGCTAACTACATGCTTGTCTACAAACTCCTTAAAAACATCACAGAGATCATCTTTTATCACCTCCCAACAATCTTGGTAAAATCAATATATTTCACATCAACAAGAACACCAATCTCCTTAAAATAATTGTTTGACATAATGATGCATGAAAGCTAACAAGTATAATTGAGTACAAAAATCTGCTTAAGAAATCAAAGGCTATTATTATCACCTTTGTCATAATTTGATATAGAAGGTTCAAAGGACAAGACGGAACACCATAAGAGGACACAGGTTTTACCATTACACCAAGCAATGACCCCTTTTGGAATAGTCACTTAATGTCTCATAAACAAGTTAACTTAAAAAAAAAAAAAAAATTACTACTTAGAAGTACCACTAATTGAGAATTGCCTTGTATAATGCATACACATGTTTACCTAGATATGCTGTGTTTGTAATATTTCTGAAAATAGGTTAAACTCTGAACAGCAATATTTATGGTAATGATGGTAATAGGTGATTAGAAATTTATCTAATATCTTTTTATTTAATGTCTTTTAGTTGGTATTGAGGGGGTTTAAACTTTTTCGTGAAATTACTAGGGGATTCCAATGGAGTTTTTGGTGATATGATTCAAGTTTTCAATAGGATTTGATGTAGAGTTAAGAATTCCAATAGGTTTTCCTTTTTAAGTCCTATATGTTACCTTCAAGTTATAATTCAACCTTTTGGTTGAATATAATCTTGGTTATCCATCTGACCATAGCTAAGGTCTTATTTGGTTGGTTTGTCTTAAACCTTTACATGACAGAAATTTATGATAAAATTTCCAGAAAACAAAGTTTTCAAAAAAGTCAAAAATCAACCCTCATGTTGATCATTCAATTCCATCTTAATTAAAGTCAGGTGTCTAAGTTTGATGCTTAAGGGCTGAAATTTGTTTCAGTATGGTACTTATCCCCACATTATATGCAACAGAGTTTGTTCTATTTTTCTTCTCTCTCTCTCTCTCTTAATTATTCCCTAGCTTAACCTTTTCTTTTAAATTAAACATTAGAAGACTGAATTAAGCAAATCCCAAAGAGTAAAAAATGAAGAAAGAATATCATAAAACAACATTTTTTCTTTGTTTAATCCAAAGTTATATGACATGTAAATATGAGAGAATGCTTTCCAAAGAAAGACTAAATCAAACAAATCCAATTACATTTACCTATTAATATTCAACACATTGGTCTTTACATCTATAAACTAGCCTCTGTCTTATTTAACCACCTGCAAAATATTTTTGTTCAACTCCCTCACAGAGAGAGAAGAGCTCAGATCTCCTACCCACAATCTCTTCCCACATCCCTACCCACAGGAAACTACAGTCGTTCATGGGGATTATCTCCTTTGTCATTCATTGGGAGATGATCACCATACATGGTGGTAGTGTCTTGTGGGTAGGGATGTGGGAAGAGTTTGTGGGTAGGAGATCCAGAGTGCAGAGAGCATTTGACATGCTAGAAGTCTTTATTCCATATAGAGACAATGATCACACTAAATCATGACCAAGCTATATACTATCCTTCATCCTAGTTAAACCTCAATTTCATAGGAAGATGCCGGCTGGATTTCTGGTAAAATTTCATGATAGTTGTAGTGGGGACTTAGAGATCCAATCTTGCCTTTGTGAGGGGTTGGATGATGGGCTACCCCCTGTTCTGTAGCTCATATGCCTAGCCAAAGTAAAATAAAATAACACACTTATCTAATCTCATACTCAATAGGAAGGTCTCATCACCATTTAAATCCCTATTTTCACATTAGGACCTCTAATCAGTAATCTGCAATAACAGACACCACCTTCATTCCAATTTGAATCATGCCTTTGAGTATATGACTCCTTAAAAATGTTTTTCTTCATAAGCTCTCTCCAAGTTAGGGGCCATTGCTTGGTACAATGATAAAATTCAAGCTGCCAAGCATGACATTGCATCAGGTTCAAGTCCAAGAAGCATGACATTGTATTTGCACTCTTCCCAAACTGAGCCTTAAGGATCAGAGTTGGTTAGCTTTAATTTCATGGTATTCATCTAATCCTCAACCCATACATGAAGTGATCACATTATTGACAAACCATTATTACAAGTAGCATATTCTGAGATCAGAAAACTCTATCTGCTTCAATATTTCAAGAGATATAGCATGGAGACAGAAGTACTGAGTCTACTGACCTGTTGTTCAATGTGTACACTAATATCTCCAAGTGTAATATGCCCATAAGGACCTTTAGCATTCTTTTTCTCAAACCAATTCTGCATCAAAAAGTAACATCAATGTCAAGAAAATGTAATTGATGCATCAGAGAAAATTAACAATTGACCATTTTTGAATATTGATGCAGGAAAGGGAAATACGCATTGCAACAAAAAGGATATATGATCATATCTGCAATAAATAAATAAACAAATATATATATATAGCTATAAAGCCACACACCTCATCCCACCAGGACTCCAAAAGGAAAGGAACTCTCTTAGATTCCTTGTCAAATAATTGTAATGTATTCCACAATCCAAGAATGAAGGATAAAAGAAACCAACCCCTCAACCCCACAAGAGCTTCAAAGGAGATTTCCATTCCATAAAAATTCTTATAATCCTCTCCTTCCAAACCTCCACCCACCAATTCATACACACACATCACCACATGGTTGATAGAATTCCCATAAAGCCAGCCTAAAATTTGGCAGTCCAAGTTGACAGCTTGAGATCTCACCTACCCTTTATACATTAATATAATTCTACTTCATCTTTCAATAAAAAAAGTTTGACAGCCTGGGCTATAAACAGGGCTCTTGTTGCATGGCATGTTAGTTCATATAACCTCAGAGTAACAGATCAGTGCCAGATACATGGCTGGGCAAACTAATATGTCATGCAGAGGGAGCCCTATTCACAGCCCAGGCTGTCAAATGTGGGCAGCCAAAGTTTTCTTCTTGAGTCTTTCCCCAAGGATCCTAATAATGCCTTGGCATTTCAGTTAGGCCATTCATCCCATTCATTATGCCCCATAAATTCCAAGAAGAAATGCCACGAGTGTTTGGTTACACGTGGAACAATAAAGGAGATATAGCTGATTCCCTCTCCTTAAGGCACATGAAACACACTTGGTAGATGAAAAAATGATTCACCAGATTTTTCTTGAAAAGGATGTTAATAGTATTGATGACACGGTTTCCTATAGGAATAAACCAATTCTTTGAAGGTGGAGATGACAGAGACCAAAGATGGGTTTTCCACAGGAATACAATCAGACCCAATGATTTAAAAGTGAGAAGCATAACTAAAGCACAGGGGTTCCTAGAGCCTAAGGTGTAATCAGGGCACATAAACAAACAAAATGAGGCATTACTTCAAAAAACAAAATAAAAACCTAATATACAAGAATATGCAATACAAATTCAGAAAGAAATAAGATATTTCAAAAAGTCTATTGGCTTTGGCTCAAATTGGTTAGAGTATGGTGTAATTATCATAAATAACCTTATATGTTCAAGTCCTACATGGGCTGATTTAAACCCTAAGCATGACTACAACCTACAATATAGTAAATTACATGTTCAACATCAAATTCAAGATTGATTCATGAAACATAAAATGAACATATCAAACAAAGGCAAGCAGTACATACCCTTCTCCAACTTGGGGAAAGCATTGAACTCTAGAAGCTAGGGACATTAAACCATTCTTGGTGGAGACTAGACCAGCCACATATTGAAATGCGACTTTGGTCACTTAATCTAAGATAGAAGCTTATAGTGAATGGCTCCTTTGTGAAACCACCAAAAACAGGTAAGGTGCACCAAGGTTCAAGCAAGATCCCCCCACCCCCCCCCCCCCCCCCAAAAAAAAAAAAGCCTCACCTATGAAACCAATGTGGGTATGCCTTTTAGATCACTGACCAAGCCCAAGCTAGAAACAAGAGACAAAGGGAAGAATCTACTCAAAAAGAATCCCAAGGAAGTGGGGGGCAAATATGATGGCCAGAGTAATGTTAACATATGAAAACTAAAATGGTAATATAATTATCTTTACTTTCCATTCAACATTCTAGGAAACGTGTTAAGGAAAATAATTGATAAAAAAAAAGTGTTAAGGAAAATATCAATTTGGAAGCTAAGAAGCAGAATATTTCTTTCTACATTTTTGTTTGATTGACATGCTAATTCACTTCCACCTTCAATACTTGAAGAGAACATTTTTTCCAGATCCTATTATATCGCAGACAAGTTCAAACACATACATGAGAGACAGATCTTAATTTACATACATGAAATTGAAAATATGTGATTAGGTATCCATCTCAGATTGCATCACTGATATTTTTTATGATTTTATCATCAACAAAACTGTCTATTAACACGAAAGAAACAGAGATTGGAAAAGTAAAACAAACAACGTACAGACATTCCATGTTGGTGTCTCACAAGTCTGCACTGTCTTTCCTGATTCTTGCTTGAGGTGGTCAACTGTTCTAATATGCTAGTTCTGCTGTTTTTTCAGGGGCTTTTCTTTATGGAGTCTATGGATCCTTTTATGTACATATTCTATACCCAATTTCTTTTGTTTGCCTATGTGTTTCTCCAATTAAAAGCAAGGAAAAAAAGAACTGAATTGGGTTATACTTTCTGCTGTTTTTTCAGGGGCTTTTCTTTATGGAGTCTATGGATCCTTTTATGTACATATTCTATACCCAATTTCTTTTGTTTGTCTATGTGTTTCTCCAATTAATCAAAGCAAGAAAAAAAAGAACTGAATTGGGTTATGTTTAGCACAACAATCATGAGTTTAGATCTCATCCCAACTAAACCACACACACATTGAAAATGCTAGATCCATTCTTTGTCCTTAAAACCCAAGACTTCATAAGTGAACTCATGTGTTAGATGAAATGTCACAAGGAAAGGTTTATCATGTACTCAACTGAAGATAAATAAGATATGTATTTGTAGTAATTCATGTTTCTTAAAGTACTACCCTGAAAATAAGCATACAACCAAACATCCAATGAATTTCTTTTACCTCGCCATCAGAAAACAGGAAGGAAAACTTCCAGATGAGAATAGAGCAAGAATTTCAACATCAAATTCCAAAAGAAGAAATAGAAATAAATTAGAATTTTGTATAGACCAGACAAAGTTCCTTCACAATGCATTCTAACCACATTATTTTCTTAAAGAAAAATAAATAAGTAAATAAAACAGAAGTCCCTCACTTCACAGTTCTAAGTGATTTCAAGCCCATATACATTGAAACAAGTCAGTATAGCATAGATATTACATTGTACCTCATTAGGAACTATAGATTAATACAGAAATTTGCAGAAAAATGTATTATAAATAATAATGATAATGTAATACTACAAGTGAGGTGGATGCAGGACCAGAAACCTCATTATGGATTGCATTTCCACCAGCTTGTGTACCATTCCCACCCAGAACAAAGAGCATGTTGATTCCTCTTTCCTGATATCATTTTTCAAATAAATTTATAAGAACATATTAAGCCTTGGATTGTGATGTTAGTTCAGTATAAGAATTCATTCCTTTAAAATATACAAGAAACAATTCATGAAGGTAAAAGAAATTAAATCCACCACAATGTCCACAATGTCACTGACACTGGGACCTCCACATGAAACTCCTAATAAACTTCCACCAGAAAGGACTGCAAGGTGTTATTTTGAACCACTTTCTGTGATAGCTAAACAACAAAATCAGATTGAAGACATGAATAACCTATTAAGAACACGTTTACTTGAAAGCTAGGAAGAGAAAATATAAAATAGTTATTAATAAATGATGCTATTGAATTTTTGGTATTATTTTGTAGTGAGTATGAAGAGGCATACCGGCATTTAATGTATTTCTTTGTCAGAAAATCCACAATAACCGGAAATTATCGCCATAATCTTTTTTACACCATATATTCTGAGAGTTATGACTATCTGTAGCAGATTAAAGTTCAATGCACAAAAAATCTTGAAACCTCAAATGTGAGGAGTGAAAGAGGGTTGTAATTTAAATGCTTTGACTGATTTGTGCCTGGACTAACCTGTGGGAGGCTAGGTTAAATGGATACCACAGCGGTTCCATATAAAGAATAAAAATATGGAAAAACAAAGCCATATATGACACTTATTTTGTCCACATCATTTAAATTTCAAAGGCATTCGTTCTGAAACTTTGCAAGTTTACAGGTTTTATTTTAGCTGTAATGTAACACAGAATCCATAGAATTCCAAGATTTTTAAATCGTATTGAATTTTGATTACTTCTCCTCTATATATTTCTTTGGTTTTCATTTACTAGGCTTGCGTTGATCAAGTCGATTCATAGAGGAGAGAGCCTGCTCACTGGTTTCTTCATCCTTTGCTACTACATCAGAATGTTAGTGACATTGAATATTACAAAATACAAAGAAAGTAATAATTCTGAAAAGATGGAATGGGATTTACCCCTTTATACTGACAGTTTAATGGGGGAGCCATGGTTGTTGACTAGTTGGAGAAGAAAGAGGAACTGTAATCTGGATTCCAAGACTAGGATGAAGCTTAAATGAATGGGAAATTTTGTCCTTTCTTGCTCCATTTACGTGATTTTTATGTCAATTATTTCTTTATCAAAGATTGACAAAGCCCCAATCCTGTATTGAGACATGCATATTAACTGTTTCCCTTGGACTTTCTGGCAGTTATCTACTTTACTGGCGTGCTATTGCAATATTTTTAATGGAACATGCCTCTATCATACAGGAAAATTGCATTGTGTATGGGAAGCAATTTCCATGGAAACACATTAATTTCTTGGACAATGAAATTCCCAGCCCAATCGGCATTTGTGTAGGCATCAACCTTAAAGTGCTCATTACTAGCAAATAAGATACCTCTTCCTGAATGTTTCTTTAGGTTCTTTAGTACCCTCTCTGCATCTATAGCATGGGGTGCTTTTGGAGCATACATATCCTTCACCTCAAACTGTAAAGCAAGTAACTCTTTTAGCTTCTATATTTTTGTTTTTCAGTTACTTATAATAACAATATCATCGACATAGACAATAAGGACAATTAGTTTCTTGTCTTCCCTCTTCAAAAACATAATGTGATTTGACTGACATTGCTTAAACCCATTTGCTGGACTTCTTTGTTGAATCGGCCGAATCATGCCCTTGGTGATTGCTTCAGTCCATACAAAGACTTCTTAAGGTAATAGGCTTTCCCTTCACTTCTTTTTGCATGAAATCTAGGAGGTTGCATCATATACACCTCTTCTTCCAAGTCTCCATTTAAGAAGGCATTCTTCATATCAAGTTGACAAAGAAGCCATCCCAATTTAGCAACCAATGACAGTAGGACCTGTATGGAGTTCATTTTATCCACTAGGGCAAAGGTTTTTGTGTAATCTACACCATACAGCTGCATGAAACCTTTTGCAACCAGATTTGCTTTGTATCTCTCAATAGATCCATCAGTTTTATGCTTTATAGAAAAGACCCACTTACACCCAACAAGTTATTTCCCTTCATGAAGATCAACAAGTTCCCAAGTTTTTTTCCCTTCAACAAGGTATCCTTAGTGGAATAAAGAAGGTATCCAGTCCTTGCATTCTACAAATTTTTGTCGGTCTTTTCACAGCCAGCTTTGGTGTTTATGTTTGTACAAAAACAGGACACTGAAGTCTAAAAAAGAAAATCAAATATCTGCCAAAGTTATTATCCCAATTAGCACTAAGACATTCAGATTCGACAACACTTGTTAAAAAAGTTGGGAAAAAAGAAAATGAATTCCACATTTAACATTCAATGAAGAGATGAACTAGAATATTTGCCAATGTAGTATTCTAATGTTTTCTTACATTCAAATTGTTTTTTATAGTCCTTTTTTATTGTTTTAATTTACCTCTTTCCTTTCTTAATTGGTTCCAAGCACATTACTTCTTGGACTTTTACAATCAATGGTGAGAGAGTGTTTCGCTAATTGTGAGGGAGTTTTCTCTCTTGCACATTGGAGATGTTATGGGCTATTGGTCTCTTTATCTTTTTGAGAAGAAGTGATAAAAAGATAAATTCAACACCATACTTGTTTCAAGGTGCTCTGCTGGACTGTTTGCACCTGCAGGGTGTGGTGTTGAATCCTGGAGGTTGATGGCAGTGTCACCCTTCTGTATTGTGGTCAAGTACCTAGTGGAAGACAAATAAACTTCAAGGACAGCGGCTTTGTCTGTGCCTCAACCGAAAGACTAACAGGTTGATTCTAACTTCTTTTAAGATGCAGATAAAAATATATTTTGGTTTCTAAGTTTGTGGATTGTTTCAAACTTCTCTTTCCAACAGTGATGTCAAACAAATTGTGTTCTGCAGTGCAAAAGCATGCTGTACTTGAAGTAGAGGGGTTGGAAAAAAAATAAATTAGATTCCTGATTGTTTGGTAAGGGGCATAAACAGAAAGCATTAGCACTATCCAGTTAAATATGGAATCTCATGTTAACTCCCCGGTCAAAGGCTTCCAATTCTCCATATACCCAAAATTAAGTCACATATACAAGCTATTTCACAATCCAATGAGATTTAAGAATTTATAGTTAACATTGCAGCTTGGGCGGTTCTGGATTTATCAAGGTTCCCAAATAATCTCAGGTCCATCAAAACTTACCGTTGTTATATGGTACTAAAAACCAGGATAATTAAGCAGTGGTCTCAGACTCCAAAAGCCAGTTAGGAGAAAAAAAACTCAGAAAACAGCTCAAAATTATTTGAAATGGCCAAACGCAACCCCATATGATAAAGTATTTCAGATCAAAACAAAAATCCTATACAGTAAACTTTTAGCTTGCATACCTGCTCAATTGAAACTAATTACCTACTTTACAAACGTATATGCACAGTGCGAATCATAAGCCTCACAAGGACATAGGATGAAGGAAACAGAATACCTTAAGAATTACTCTATCGTTATTGTTCATTTATCCATATCACTTCTCATCCGCTGGATAACTATCTGAAAAATCCTCGAACACAGGACGCCTGAAACATAAAAGGCAATCTCATAATAGGAAACAGAGCCAAAATTTGTAAGAAATGCTCGTTCTATTTTCTTATTTACAAGAAATACGTAACAAAACATATTGCGAATATAAGACAGACAATGATGCAATAAATAATCAATTAAGAAATATTAGAAGGTTAGAAAAACATGGACATACATTTCCATCTCCATCTTTCCAAAGAACAGAATCAGTTGCAATCAAAAAAGAAGAAGAAGAAGAAGAATATCAATAAAATTCAACTATAATCGGATGGAATGGTTAAGAACTTGAATTCTGTCTAGATAGCAACTAAGACAACGCTTAACGTCTAAGGCTGAAACAGAGGAAGAAAAGAAATCGAAGAAGGAAACTAGCTCTTGATACAAAACGTAGATGAAAAGGGTTGGATATCATGGAAAAGGTCGGTCAGATGAGGAATGTAGATTCGTCTCTTGAAATCCTCCTGAAACTTGATCTTCCAATGAGGATCAGTGAAGTGATTACTGGATTCCTAGTGTCCGCAGAAACACGGCTTCCCTGGCAAACTCCTTTGTCGAATTTCACTCTCGCTCCCTGTGTTCTTCTCCTCTCTATCCATTCCATGCTTTTTATTCCGTGGAGAAACGAAATGTTCCAACGCTGGAACGAGAAGAAATCCCAGATAATGGTATCATTAGACAGAGCTTGGGTTTGACTTTGAGTCGTGCGGTCATTTTCAAGTTTAAGTGCTCGTCTTAAGATTTTGCAAGGTGCCACCCGCTGGTTGGTAAGTTTCCTGCTCCTTGTAGCGGAGATTTGGGATCGAATCCCGCTGCACTAGGTTGGGGTTTATGGGATTGGGAGATGGGCTATCAGCATTGTGTAACCCCTTCCAGCATGCGGTTTATAGTTCAGTCCACTCCTGCCCATGAATTGATGTTAAATTCACGGGCAGGATGCGATTTATGGGAGGCTGTTAGTAGACTCCGAGGAAGCTGGTGTTTGGTACGGTTTTTCTTTATTTAAAAAAACAGAGGCATGCACCTATTAGAACGAGGCCACTCTATTATTGTTGTCTTAACGTTAAATAGGTGAATACTGGTCAGAAAAAGACAAAAAAATAAGTAAATAATTCAGAATTCTCGTTTTTAATCATTCAAATATTTTCCTTTTTTTTGCAAAAGTTCTCGATTAATGTCCTATACTTTGGCTCGAGTGACAATTTGATCCCGATTAGTATAGAGTTAAGATTTCTAGGAGTGGACCGAATCCTGCCCGTGGATTGATGTTAAATTCAAGGGTAGGATGCTATTTATGGGAGGCTATTAATAGACTCCAAAGAAGCTGCAATTCAGATTTTTGAGGTGAATTGCAGTTCACTTACCAAAAAAAAAAAAAAAAAGAAAAGAAAGTGTTCGTTTTAAGTTTCGAGAATACATTTGGTTGGTGGAAAAGAAAGATGGTGTTTGGTACAGTTTTTCTTTATTTGAAAAACAGTGTCAACTTATCACTATGAGAATGAATAGGAGGCATGCACCTATTAGAATGAGGCCACTCTATTATTGTTGTCTTCCCGTTAAATAGGTGAATAGGGTTCACCTGGTCAGAAAAAGACAAAAAAATAAGTAAACAATTCAGATTTCTCGTTTTGAATCATTCAAACACTCTTTTTTTGTGTGAAAATTCCCAATTAGTGTCTTGTACTTTGCTTCGAGTGATAATTTGGTCCCCGAATTTTAAAATGCGATAATCTAGTATCCAAACTTTCAAAATGCAGCAATCTAGTACTTATCGTTAATCAACCGTTAAGTGGCATGCAAAAAGATACAAATGCCCTTCAAATGTCATCATTTTCTTTATCAACCATCCGTTAAAATCAGAACCAACTGCCAAATACAAGTTTTTGGACTTTAATATGGATTTGGATAGAGGACACACAGCTAAACGGAAAAGCTCCTCTTTCTGGATCTTTTCTATGGGTTACTAAAGAACACGCTTCTTCCATAATAAAGAAATGAGGAAAGATAGCTTTTTTCAGGTTTTTGGAGGATGAGACTCCCAAGTGGTCTTTGAACCTGAGAGATGATGAAATGACAGAGAAGAGAAAAGAGAAAAGAGTTTAACGCTAAAAGTTAAAAAGAAGATGTTTAAGTAACTTGAAACCTAGTAAGGTGTTTGCACTGTAGGTGATGACATTTGGCTTGTAGTTCTATCTCACCATTTCATCCATGCATTGTTATGCCTCACTCAACTTGCCCCTTTTATAGTATTTGTCGATCAAAGTCGTGAATGTAATTACGTCGAGAATACAATCCTTGCCAATTGATGAGGCACAAATCTGCTCACTTGCTCATGTCTCGGTGATGTGGCTCGAACCAGGTTCAAACCTGGCGATGTCGAGCTGTATTGCCAAGCTGTGAACTGTACGTCCGAGCTGAGAGATGCTGTGAAGAAATAAGGGTCAGAGTGCATGGGTAGGTTTTACCCAGGAGAATATTCCGATGCTTAGGTCAGTAAGGAGATTTAGTCAGAATCTTTGAGAGAGTTCAAGAGCTTCAGTGTGCATACCTTTCAGAGTGATCCTAGGTTCTTTTTATAGCTATCTGATGTTTAAGTGCCATTAAGCAACGTCTCTGAGTCTTTTGTGGAACTGTTTTCGTAGTTTGGGGGGATGTTGGACTGTTAGTTGCTAGATTCGCGTGGCGGTTATAAGTTGCCCACAGGTCTTGTAGCGCATGGTTCAGCGAGTTGTTCTTGTAGTTGCGGTAACGGGGTTCGAGCGGCCACGGCACGTAGGATGGTTTCGAGGTAAGTTATTGTCGATGGGCTGAGCTCACCTCAGCTCGGCTCCCTGTCATAGACTGCCACATGCCGAACTGGCGAGCTGCCTTGCTAAGTTGGACGTTGTGTTGCTGACAGCGTCCATGTGTCTACAAGTGTGTGGGTTGACCAAAATGCCTCTCATCATCAGCTATCTTAAGATCAAAAATCTCTTGTGCATTCTCCAGGAGCCCTTTTCTCACAAAATCTAGAGATAATGGTATTGTACACAATCAAATTGGGCTTACAGAGCATTCCATCAAATACTTTTTTTGCATTGCCAATCATACCCAACTTGCAGAAGCCCCAAATCATCATCGTGTAAGTCAAGACATCAGGTTTCACTATGTCCTCCTTCAGAATCTGATCAAAGAAAGCTCTAGCTAGATCTATGTCATTCGTTCTCACCATGATCCCTAAAATGACATTTGCCATGGTCTCCATAAGCCTTGATGAACTTGGCAACCATGGAGTCAAAGAGTTTATTTGACGATTCAAGAAGAGCTAAAGCTATAGAATATGGGAGATGAGAAGGTCAACCATGGCGGAGTAGCAGCACTGAGTGTGGTAGTAGTTGTTAGGGTTAGGGTCAGGATTTGAGGCCCAGCCGAAGAAGAAGAGAGCCTTGTGAGGATTGGTTTGGGATTTAACAACTTGGGTCACCAAATTGGGATTCAAGTATGGTGTGAATTGGTCTAGAGGAGAAGAAGCGAGATTTTAGGAGTTTGGGTTTTGAAGGTTGAGAGAATGAAGGACGGAGGAGATGGACTTTACCAAGGGAACACTATTAGAGCTACTGTTAAGATTTCAAGCTGCCATCCATGGTTCAAAGTATCAATACGATACGCCCCGTATCGGGTGTATCGTATCGTATCTTTTGAAAACACCAATTTTTTTAATAATAAAAAACAGGTTATAAGCTTTCCAAAAAACCAAACTTTGAAAAAAAAACTAAAAAAAAAGAGTTTCGGCCGTTTCTAAGTGCTGATACAATACGGCCGAAAACTCGTATCGTATCAATACTTTGAACCTTGCTGCCATTGCCATTGTTGCTGTTGCTGCTGCTATCGGTGGCTCCCTCCAGCTACGAATTACATTGCAGCTTTGCGATCTAAATGATGCATACATAATAGCAATTTTATTTTCAACCTCAGTATTTCTTCTACTCACCATTGTTTATGATTTTAATCTCTCTCCCTCACGTTTTCTCCCCCTCCCTCAACCAAGTACAAAAGCTTAGGGTCTGTTTCATCTTCTTGAGGAAGAAGATGATGAACACTACTGTGTTTTATTTTCAAGGGTAATTTTGGTATTGTCAAAGTCTTAAATTGCACGTGAGTTCACATGATATACATAACTGATGATCCATCAACGACAGATACTAAATTGTTGCATTTCGACAATTCAGGCATTGGATTATTGCATTTTATAGTTTGGGGATCAAATTGTCACTCGATCCAAAGTATAGGGTACTAATCAGGAATTTTCCCTTTTTTTCAACTGAACCCTAATAGAGACCATTGGCAATTTCTGAGCACAACCGAACTCTAACGGTAGTAAGCATCTATTTGAATCTTCAAATTGCAAAGATTCTGCTTGCAAGTGTCTTTCTATGCATGGGGAAGTAACAAACTGATAATCCATTATTTCAACAAGGAAATGATCTATCTAATTCCATTAAAAAGAAATAAAGAATGTCCTTTCTTCATCAACTTCCTAAAAACTGTGCATAGAGAGGGATTAATTTTATTCTATTGAAAGTTGAATTTACATCATCAAACTAATGGTGATCCCATCATACACAAATTGATATGCAGAACATCGGTAGTTTCAGTTAATTAATTTCTCAACTCAAAGCACCGCAAAATCAAAATAATAAGAAAACCAATACATTGGGCAGATGGTCAATCTATTCTCATTGCATTCTTGGCAACAGTTAGGCCATCCATCATCAATCCCTTCATCAAGACTGACTTTGCAATTGCCATTGCAGTTGAAGCACAACACAAATTGTATCCCTATGCAGCTGTCACATGGGCCACTAGAGTGGTCGAGTGGGACTCCTTGAAAGAGTGGCCAGAGCTTCCCTTGCTCGTGCAAACTCACCATCTCGTCAGCTCCTCTGATATATCTCCCCCTTGCAAGAGCGGTAAGCAAGGAACAGATACTTATCGCCAAGTATTTCTTACCACCACCGAAGTTCAGTTGTGCTCAGAAATCGCTGATGGTCTCCTACTCTAGGGCTAGGGCTCGGTTGAAAAAAATGGAAGGAATGGGAGTTTGAATGATTCAGAATGAAAGCTTTGGATTATTTTTGTTCGATGACCGGGTGAATCGTATACACCCACTTAATAGAAAGATAACGTTATGGAAATGGCTTGACTTGAATAGATGACATGCGCGCCTCCTATTGGAGGGTATACGCTCATCATGAACCTATGGGTTCACTGGATTCGTTCTCATCACTATGTGTGTGTTTGTCCCAAAATGGAGTTTGCATCACCCGTCGGTTTACGGGAAGCAAGAACCTACAAATCAAAATCGAGCACATCATTTATTTTTTGAGTTAATAGAGATTTAATGGAGTTATTCAATTAATAATGGTCCAACTAATTGAACGAGAAACAAAAAGACAAAAAATAATAAAACACAACCACACTTTCCTCTCTTGTTCGAACTCCCCCCTCCCAAGTTCTATCGTCTCAGAATATTGTGACTATACCACCAACCACCACAACAATCGACCTTCCATCTCGAATGACAACAACATGATTATGTGCTCCGATCACATTGTTCATGTCATAATGACTCTCGATGTTGCCGAGTTCGGATCCTATGTCCATATTTTCTGTCCCATCCAATGAAATATTGCTACGACACCTATTTGTTTGAAACTCAAATTTAACGACAGTCTGGACTCCAAAAATTATTAAATTTTATGGATAAATGGATGCAGTCCATTTAGAAATCTGAAATTACAACCCCCTCCTAGTCAATTAATAGCCCTATAAACCGCATCATGAATGTGAATTTGACATCCATCCACAAGCAAGATCCATCTATAATTCAATGTGAATTATAGAAACCCCTAAATTTTATTAACCTGCTCAATTTTAATGAACTCCTTTCTTT